TTTTGATGTAACATTAAAAAGGGGGTGTCCTTTTCTCAATTTTTAGCCTAAACTGACTGGATAATTGAAGCAGGGCGATGGTCCGGAGGCTCTAATGTGCTTCCATTTCGTTGAAAAGGAATGTTGGTGTCAGGAAACCTGTGATGTAGCGCTATGTGAACTTTCTAGTTGGAATTCTAGCACGTCTTGCGAAGCCGTGGTTATCGGATATCAACGATATCAAACTGTACTCTACACTTTTCAGATGGATACCGAGTTCACCAGTTTTGCTCAGAGTCAGGACATCCTTGCTACGCTTACACATCGACAACCTGGTATCACCGGTGAAAGAGAACCATGGGTTCGTGAGTTCAAGTGTGACAGAGGTTGGTCGTTTGACGCTTTTTCATTTTCGCGTTTTGCATTCGTTTTCATTTACAGTATCGTTAGTAGACCTTAATGAGTGTCAAATATGTGTTTTATATTGATACACTCACAGTTTCCTTCGACGCTGTACTTGAATCTCCCGTCCGCTGCTCAGGAAGCAGCACAGGCTCTCGCTTGTTACCTTCTTTACGAGAAGAGTACGCAGATTTCGCTCAACTGGGCCCAATATCATTCCCCACTCCGTTGGTTAGTCTATCCTTTCAAAGGCATTCATACCGTCCCTCATCTTAGCAGTACGAGCTTAAAATGTTTCATTTCAGCTCGAGACATCAAATGGTATTGAATTTCTTTTTGGCAGGTTTTTCAAAGTATTCCGGCGACTTTCATGTTCACCTAGCATTGCGAACATGAAGGAATTCATGCAAGGTATGCGAATACCGCGATTTCCTCAGCTGTATTGGGCGCTCCTTCAAATTAGATGCACGTAATTTCATGGAATTAGGGCAATATCGTGAGGGGCTAGTGCGAGTAATACTCAAAGGGAAAATATACTCATAAAAAGAAAAGGGAAGATTCTTGAAGACTCTTACATAGCGTTGCAACATTTCAGTTTGTGATTCTTATTACAGTTCATTATTAATTTGGAACTTGGAACGCAATCTAAAGAAAAGCTTAGGCTCGCCTCGAATTACAATAAATGTGGTTGTGCTCATATAATGTCTCGTATTTATTATGATTAGCGCATAACCTTTCAGGCGTTTTGATTCCGATTTTTCAAACTGTTATCTTGAAGAGTTTTCACTGGTTAAGTACAGATGAGTATGATATTTTAGTGCTGGGCTTACTAGAATTCGCTGGTATGGAAGTTGGCATGACAGATGAAGTGGCTTCGTCCTATCGTACCCTTCTGTCACGATTTTTATTGAAACTTGGGTCCCTCGGGACGGCGGTATCTGCTCTTCCAGTTAACGCTTGTTCGCAGGTTTGCTTCAATTTTTTTCAGGGTACTTTGGTTCGAAGTCCTGTATACTTTTCTTGCTATCAGTTACTTTTTAATTTACATTGTTCAGCGATTGAAATTCTAGAACATTCCTTTCCATGCTTCATTGTTTTCGTGGATGTCTGCTTGCAAATTGCTTGCTCGATTTCGAAGTGGGTCTATCTTTATGAGGCTAGCAGTATTCTGATTTATTAAATAAATAATAAGATGTTTCTACAGAATTTGAGACTGATTGTAGAATATGAGGCGGGAAAATTTTTGGTTTCCAAAAAGGCGAGAAAAGGGGGGGGGGAGGATATGTGTGTTTGACAGTCGCGACAACGCTCAGATTGCTTCTGGATGGCTTGGCAGTATCGGCGGAAAGAACATGCGTAAGTATCGTTTGTTACGTTTGAAAATACTAGGCTTATTATTCTGCCTACGGTTCGTATGAATTGACACCATAATATCCTTTATATCTAGGGTTTTCAGCATACACCTGCTGTCTTGCGTCCAGTGCAACTTTATTGGAGCTCTAGTAGGGACGCCCATCCAATCAGCTACTTCAAAGTAGTTTACATATGTACAATTGCTTGGACGAAAGGCGATAATTTTACGCCTTCCGAACCCTATCTCGCGAGTGAGTTACGATTCTATTACTTGTTTGAAATGGAATGTATTGGCATCGACGAATTATCTGTTATTAGGCGGCGCTTAGGATCGATAAGACATTCCGTGGAGAACTTCTTGATGTTCTTCTCAGAAGTTATCTCTCATCTCGTTGATGTTCGAGTAATTCGTAAGTTTCAATTCTGGAACTTGGAAATTAGAATGGAAAATGAAATCCATTCAGTGCGATTTCTAAGAATTGCTCTAATGTTTTTCAGCTTCTGATGAGATTATGGCGCGATTTGTACTAGTTGCTGGAATGGGAGACCTGCTGTGCGACACAGCCCTTCTACCCACATGCAAAGTTCTTCTTTCGTTCATACAGAAGTATGATGTGAGAGGTCTAGTGAAAATACGGTACGTTATAATTTAGGTTGATGCAAAAGTCATGAATTTATATGCGTGTTTTGAAATCTTTCAAAACTTCATTTAAACTCTCACTCAATAAACTGTAGAATTTGTAACTGTAACTGAAAACTGTAGAATTCCCATCATCTGTGAGATTCATCCAACGAGCAGGCAAGGCGGCAGTTCCTTTCTCCCATAAAGAGGAGGTTTGTGAGTCAAAGAAGACAGCCACAGCACTTTTGAGGTCACTAAAAGTGGCGAACTTCTTCTTGGCCAGGAGCTGCTTGAGATGCCTAAAAAGATGATAGTCAGAAGGGGCGAGGTCGGGGAATAGGGAGGGTGGGGAACGGTATTCCAGCCGAGCTCCTGTAGCCTGGACTGCGTGATCTTTGCGACGTGAGGTCGAGCGTTATCATGCAGAAGATGGCCAGAAACCTTTCTCGGTCGCTTTTCTTCGATTGCATGGGCGAGTTACCTAAAGCTGGCTTTTGTAGAATGGTAGCCGTGACTGCCTGGCCTTGAGGAAGCAACTCGTGGTATAGCATTCCCTTCGAGTCCCAAAGCAGCACAGCATACCTTCCTTGGGTGCTGTCCCGGCATAGGCTGTAAAAGTGAATCTTTTCCTTCTGCGAGCCAGGCAGCGACCCTCTTGTTGTTGTCATAGAAGATCCAGCTTTCATCCCCCGTCACCAGATCCTGCAGAAACTTCCTTCCGATTTGGGGTAAGGAGGAGCGACTGGGCGATTGAGACACGCGTGTGACGCAGATCGTCGGTCAGTTGGTGCGGAATCCATCGAGCAAAAACTTTCCTGTAACCGTGCTCGTGAAGGTGTCGAACGACGTTGCTGTGATCACTCGAGAAGCTCCGCCAATTCCCTGCTCGTAGCCTCCGACTTCTTCCTCACTTCGCTGAGAAGTCAGTCGTCTTCGATAACAACTGGTCGCCCGGAGCGAAGTCGTCGTCGAGCATCGTATCTCCAGACTGAAAACGAGCGAATAAACGACTAACCGTCGCATGGCTGACGAGGTTCTCTCCGAATGCAGTGTTGATATTGGAGGCAGCGGAACGAGCACTGGAACCGCGGCGCCACTCGTAGAAGACGATTGCTCGAAGTAGACCATTTGACAATTACGGTATGGTATATAACAGAAGCGCTATTTAAATACTGTTAGCGGTAACACTGAGATAGCTCTAGAATATGGTGAAGCTACGACGGCGGCAAAGGTTCTTGTAGAGACACGACGATCCATGTAAATTTGTGTCTCAAAACTTTTGCT